TTTTGGCCTGTTTCAGGGTTTTCAAACGGGTGTCTTCTAACGAGGCATTTCCATCAATGGAAATGAACCGTTGTAGGGGCCTATGAAGAGGGAGCAGTTGTAGGGGCCTATGTTCACTCCAAGATCGTTGGTGACTCTTGGGTTTACACGGGTCGTCGTCCTCTTTCTCCTCCATCTCCTCCTCATCATCATCATCCTCATCCTCATCCCCATTATCATCCTCTTCCTCCTCCTCATCCTCATTATCATGGTCCTCGTCGTCGTCGTCATCGTCGTCATCATCATAATCATCATCATCATCGTCATCATCATCGTCATCGTCATCGTCATCGTCATCGTCATCATCGTCGTCGCCATCGCCGTCATCATCATCATCATCATCATCAGCATCATCATCATCGTCATCGCCGTCGTCGTCGTCATCGTCGTCGTCATCATCCCTCCTCACTTGCTCCTGTCGTTCGTGCCGCCGATTCTGCACGAACTTGCCGTTTGGGCAGAAGCTTCTGATCCACCTCTCGCTCTCGTCGAACGTCGGCGTGACGCCTTTTATGTCCTACTACTACTCCTCCTCCTACTGTCTGGGCAGGTGTTCCTGTTGGGGCTGCTGCAGGAGTCCTACCGCCTGCTCGGCTACTTCGACGTGGCGCCCTGGGTCAAGTGCTGGGCCGTGCACTACCTGGAGCTGCTCCTGGCCAGGACGCCCGTCGCGCCCGGCAGCCCTCCGACGTCGGGAGCGCAGGCGTGTACGCGTTGGCGTTAAGTCGGGCATGTCCCTCTACAGGAGGAACATTCCAAAATAGTCCAAGAATCGTCTGGGGACGATTCTTGGACTATTTTTGAATATTTGCATTGATTATGTTTTCCCTCCACAATCCGCCTGCGGGAGGACATTTGCCGCCCTAACGTTGGCGGTCGGTCGCAAATCATTGGAGCCTTGTGTACCCGTGTAAGTTTGTCTTTGGCGTCGCGTCGCGTCGATTAGCGTCCGGGAATCGATGAGATAGCGCCGACTTAGCGTCGATGAACGTCTTTTCAGCCTCGGCGAGCGTCGATTTTGCGTCGACCAGCGTCGATTCGCAGGAGCCGACAAGATGGTACAGTCGGGGCGCTGAAGAAGGAACCCTAGTGGCTTGGTGTTCCTTCATTGTTTTACAGTTTGCCTAGGGTTTTCCTGAGGTTTTTCATGGGACATCGAAGTTTACCTTTTGGAGAAAGGGGCCTCGTTCCTTATTTAGGGTTCCTTAGGTCAATGCCCCGGCTGTATGGGAGGATCCCATGAGTTGCCACCGACGTTGGCGCCAGCCCGAAATTTCGGCCGGTGCCCACCAGACGTACGGCTGCGGCCGGCGCTTCCGTGGAGGACCGCCGTGCCGATCTCGGCCGGGTTTAGGAGCCGCCGGGAGGGCGCCCGCATCCTTTTGGTCTCCGCCCTTGTCCGTGCGAGCGCCGCCGACGTGGAGAGCGTTTTAGAGCGTGAATTACCTACCTCGCTTTCGCTTCCAGGAAAAACCAAGTCATACCACGCGCCTCCTCGTCAAGCGGCCTGACCAGTACAAGCCGTATTTTGGCATCGCAAGCGAGGGTGGTCAAAAGCGAGGTAGGTTTGATTTCCCCTTAACGCTGTGCCCGCGCGCACTTCCACTCGTTGTGCATGCGTTCGTCCAAGGGTCCCCGCGTCCGCCCGTGCCTGCAGGCAGTCGGAGCTGCTGGCGCGGCTGCGGCTCGACGCGGCCGAGGTCCCCGCGTGCAGCCGGACCGAGGCACGAGATCGAGGTCCGTTCGGAGAGGGCACTCTCGTGTTCTTCGCGTTTGTTGGATGCTCTTGCTCGAAGAAGAAAAACGCCATGAACATAAATTAAAGGCGCTCCGCGCGGATTTCTTGGATCCGCGCTGGGCTCCCCCAGCGGCGCCTCCGGCGCCGCCCCTGGCGCGCTCCACGCGCCAGGGAGAGGGGTCCAGCGCAGATCCACCACATCCACCACATGTTTATGCAATGTGTTCTTCTTCTGCTTGCGCGCCCTGGGGAGGGTGCCCTTGGCTGTTACGTATGTTTTGGCCGGCGGAGGATCTCACGTTCTTGAAGGATGGTTTCCTGGCCTAGGTCCGACTGCACCATGAAGCACAAGAGGAGGAGCCGCCATACACGCACACACATACACACACACACACACACACACACGTAAGTACGCATGACGCTTAGACACGTGGGGTGTGTCCAGTGGCGCTGCCGCGCGATTCCGCCACCGCGCTCCGTCGGGCGCGGGCGGGCCCGATCCACACCCACGTACCGCTGCAGGCGCGGTGGCGGATCGAAGTTCGTATACACACAGGTGCAAATACCCATCAGAAATCTGTAGAGAAACCGCATTTCCCATGGACTCCAGATTTCGTTTTTAAGAAAATCGAGAATCTGGATTGGATCCTCGCGTTTCCTTGGAGCTTCTCTTTGTTCGCAGAGTGCTCGTAGCTCTGGACCTGGACTACTGTTTAAGAAAATGCTTGGAGCTAAGTCCATTTAGCTTAGGATGTTCTCAACTCTAAGCTGGGGTGTAGTTTAGCCAGTGCGTGTCCAAAACGGTAACGCATTGCATAGATGATGTATACGCCACGTGGTGCAACCTTGTGATGAATGCTATGTGGTGCAAGCTATCGGTTGCAAGCTATTGGGTGCAAGTTATTTGGGCAACCTACGTGGTGCAATGTGCGCTGTGCAAGCTATGTTGTGCAAGCTATGCGGTGCAAGCTTTGCAGTGTAAGCTATGTGGTGCAAGCTATCCGGTACAAGCTGCGTGGCGTGCGCTATGTTGTGCCATCTACGTGGCGCAATCTGCGTGGTGCAAGTTGTGTGGTGCAGGCTATGTCGTGCAAGCTATGTGGTGCACGCTGCGGGGTGCGCGCTATCCGGTACAAGCTGCGTGGTGCAGTCTACGTGGTGCCAGCTAGGGGGGCGCCCACGAGGCGCCCACGGGCGGGCACCAGGCGGCACCTCGGCTTTCAGTGCCAGCTCGGGGCCTGCACGAGGCGCCCGTGGACCAGGCGAAGCCTCGGCATGCTTCTCCGGTGCGGGCCCAGAGCTCGGAGCTCCGAAAAGGTTTTGTTTGTGCAGCTGTTCTTCCTCCAGAGAACGGTGTCGAGGCCGAGGGGGACCCCCCTGGCCCAGGTTGGTAAGCAGCGCGGCTCTTCCCATGTCTGGCTGGCCTGTCCCTCGAGGGAACGCAGGGCCCATGGCCTGAGGCACGCCTCGGCGACGGGGGGCCCCGCTTCCACACAGCCGTCGACGCCCTCCGTCGCCGAGCCGACGCGGCACGGGCTGAGCGCCTCGGGGGCGGTGGTCTCCCCGATGCATGGATCCGCCGCCCCCGCGCCAGATCCACGGATGCGTAATTCATGCCAGCGTGTACCCGAGTCCAGGCGGCCGCTCGCGTGTGCCCGGCCTCACCGTTGGCCGCGCTCCGCCCGCCCGCCGCCCGCCCGGCGCGCACCTCGCCCTGCAGCGGCCCCGCGCGGGGCCCGAGCGCGCTGCGCGTCCGCTGGAGCCGCGACCCAAGCAGAAGTGTGCCGGGAACCCTCGCCATGCGCCCCTCTGGGGGCAGTGATGGTGGGGCCCAGATGCCCCAGTCCTCGTCCACATCATCATCATCATCATCATCATCATCATCATCATCATCATCATCATCATCATCATCATCATCATCATCATCATCATCATCATCATCATCATCATCATCAGCAGCAGCAGCAGCAGCAGCAGCAGCAGCATCAGCATCATCAGCATCATCATCGTCATCATCATCATCATCAACAGCATCGTCATCATCATCACCACCATCACTACCATCGGCATCATCATCCACAGCAGCAACAACCATAGCGACAATACACATATTCATCACGGTCACCATCACCACCACCCCATCACCATCATCACCATCACCACTGTCACCATCATCGTCCCCATCTTCATCACCATCATCCTCGTCCTCTTCTTCCTCCGCGTTCTCATCATCCTTATCATTCGCATCATCCCCATCGTCAGTGTCATCTCCAACGATCGTCGTCATCACCATCACCCCATCTCCATCATCATCATCATCATCATCATCATCATCATCATCAGCATCATCATCATCATCACCAGCATCATCATCATCACCATCATCATCATCGTCATCATCGTCATCATCATCAGCAGCATCGTCATCATCACCACCATACCCACCCCCATCGTCGTTACCATTATCATCATCATCATCATCATCATCATCATCATCATCATCATCATCATCATCATCATCATCATCATCATCATCATTAGCAGCATTATCACCAGCATTTATCATCATCATCACCATCGTCCACATCATCATCACCATCATCATCATCAGTGTCATCATTGTCATCATCTGCAGCGTCATCATAAACATCATCATCGTCATCGTCATTACCATCAGCATCATCACCATCATCAGCATCCTCATCATCATTATCATAATTGTCATCCGTATTATCATCATCAGCCTCATCCTCATCATCATCACCATCAGCATCATCGCCACCGTCATCATCATCAGCATGATCATCACCATCATCATAATCAGTATCCTCCTCCTCCTCATCATCATCATCATCCGAATCAGCATCATCATCATGACAATGCCCATCAATGTCATCATCATCAGCATCATCATCACAACCATTAGCATCATCATCAGCATCCTCGTCCTCATCAGCATCATCACCATCATGATCATGACACACTCATCATCATCACCATCGTCATCATCATCATCAGCAGCATCCTCATGACCATCACCATCATCATCATCATCATCATCATCAGCATCATCATTACAGTCATCACCATCGTCAGCATCATCATCATCAGCATCATCATTACCATCACCATCATCATCATCAGCATCATCATTACAGTCATCACCATCGTCAGCATCACCATCGTCAGCATCATCATCATCATCATCATCAGCAGCAGCAGCAGCAGCATCATCATCCCGAGCCCGTGCCCCTCCCGCTCCCCTCGGCAGCGGTGCCCCCCGATGGCGGCGCCCCCGCGGGCGTCCTGCTGCGGCGCCCTGGGCGTCCTGCTCTCCGCGCGGCTGCAGCCCGCCGGCGCCGCGGGGGCCACCTGCGCGGCGGCGCCCGGGATGCACCAGCGCACTGCGCCGGCAGGGTGCCCCGAAGAGGATCCGAGGGGGAGGAGGCAGAGCGAGGAGGAGCATCGCGGAGGAGGTGCATCGAGGAGGGGGTGGAGGAACGAGGAGGAGAGAGATCGAGGGGGGACGAGGAGGATCGAGGAGGAGGAGGAGGTGGAGGAACGAGGCAGAGCGAGGCGGAGCATCGCGGAGGAGGTGCATCGAGGAGGGGGTGGAGGAACGAGGAGGAGGAGGGTGATCGAGGGGGGCCGAGGAGGATCGAGGAGGGGGAGGGGGTTGCCTGGAGGAGGGGGAGCAGACAGGGGCGAAGCGTCCCGGCCTGCCCACGAGGACCGCCGGAGAGGGTTCCGAGAATCGGTTTCTTGTGTCTACGAGGTGTTCCTGGAGGAGTTCTGGTTGAGACAGCCTTTTTTGTGAACGCACGAGGCGTTCCATTAGAGGCCTTGCCTCCGAGGATCGAGGGAGTTGCACTCTCTTCCTCGGCGGAAGGCGGTGAAATGTCGGCGGAGGGCGGCGGAAGGAAAGCAGCGGCGGCTCGGCTGGCGGAAGGTCGGCGGAAGGTCGGCGGAAGGCGGCGGAGTACAAGATGTGCCCTCCATCAACGGGCGAAGAACGGTATAACATAAACTTTTTCGCCGTCGGGGACACCTGCCCCAGGGCGGCTGGAAAGTTTATACCCTTACGGTGGCACCGTAGGGGTATAAACTTTCCAGCCGCCCAGGGGCAGGTGTCCCCGACGGCGAAACAGTTTATTTTATACCGTTCTTCGCTCGCTGACTCCAGGGTTTCTGGAGCCCGCCACATCGCTGTGTACATTCTAAGAACACCGCCCTTGTTCTCGGAGCCGCCTGCAGCTCTCACAACATTCTGCAGTGGGCCAGAACGAAAGCTGGGACGGTCGGTCCTTGTGAAGGGGAGCAAGAGGGTGCACAAACTGACTGTCTTTGAGTTCCGCACGGGCTTCTCCGATCGGCGCTGGGGGCCCCTCCTGGAAGCACCTGCGGTCCGCAGTCCCCGAAGGTCGAAATCGAGAATTTCATTTCTATATCTATATATGTTTATGTATACATAGAAAAATAACAATAAAAACAACAAAAGAACGGGTTGAAAAATCCGCTATGCGCCGGAGATCTGGGGATGTGGCCGGCGTGAGCAGGCGTGCGCCTGGCGCAGCCTTCCCAGCGGCGCCCCTCGCGGGCGCGCGCAGGGCCCCCAGGCGTGTGCTGCGCGCCGGGGAGCGCGCCGGGCAGAGGGGGGCCCAGCGCCGATCCAAAATATCCGCGTCGAGCTCAAACATTTCATGCTCATGCAGTTTTGTGTGCTTCGGGGAGGATCGACGGGGAGGAGTGTCGAGGAGGACTAGAAGGACGAGGAGGATCGATGGGGAGGGCGAGGAGTGGGAGGAGGAGGAGGAGGAGGAGGAGGAGGAGGAGGAGGAGGAGGAGGAGGAGGAGGAGGAGGAGGAGGAGGGGGGGAGGAGGAAGATTATCGAATACGCGGAGGAGGACGAGGAGGACCGACGGGAGGGCGAGGAGGAGGAGGAGGAAGAAAACCGAGGAGGACGAGGAGGAGAATGAGGATGATCGACGGGAGGGCGAGGAGGAGGAGGAGGAGGAGGATGCAGTAGTTTCTTCTTCTGTCATCGCCTCCCCTGCGACCGAAACGCGGGCTCTCATAGGGGGTGTTTCCATCCGCACGTTGAGCGCCTCTTGTGGCCGTGTTGTCTCGGTCTTCTGGGCGTGCCTGGCCGTCTTGGCGGCCTCCCTGTCGGGGTGTCTTGGGGCCCTTCTAGGGGGCCCTTTTGTGCATACGGGAGAGGACAATTGAAGTCGGGCCCGTCCCTTCACGGGAGGAATCTTCGAAAGTAGTCAAAAGATACCTTGGGGACGTGTTTGTTTTGGTTCGAGATTGCTTTCGTATGCTTCAAGGACATGTTGGGGGTCTCTATTATTTGTCGTTCAAAATCCGCCTGTAGGGTTATGTTGTTCCAACCTACTTTAGCTCTGACCACCAGGAAGAATTTCGAGCGCCCAGAAAAGTACCGAGACTCCAGGGTTCTCACGTGCCGAGCCCTGGGAGACGCTCGCCCGACGCTGTTCTGACACTGCTTCGACACCCTTTTGACACTTTGCTGGGTGCTCGGGATGATTTCTGGGATGCGGTCCTTAAGTAGGACGGGAACCCCTCCACCTCCGTCTTCCATACCTTCCGACCTCTGCGGAAGGCGCGGAAGGCGACGCACGGAAACTACCGAGAGCCTCGAGAAGCGCAAGAAAACTCAGCATCTCACGAAGCGCAAGAGTGTGGACGGTCAGCACGGAAGGTCTGGAAGAATGGGGGCGAGGGACAACATGACTGCAGGGGGGGCATGCCCGACCTGGAAGTACAGCGTTTGGGGGGCGAGGGCAGGCTCGGCTGGGCACGCCCGGCCGCGGGGCGGGAGGGCCTCGGGCCTGCCCGTGTGGGCTCTCTCGGGGGAAAAAACACACAAAACCACACACACACAAAAAAAAACACAAACACACACACACAAAACAACACACACACACACACACAAAAACAACACACAACAACGACGACGACGACGACGACGACGACGACGACGACGACGACGACGACGGCGACGACGACGACGACGACGACGACGACGACGACGACGACGACGACGACGACGACGACAACAACAACAACAACAAAAACACGGGGGGGGGCTGTGCGGCCACCCGGGCGTGCGGCGTCCTGGCTGCTCCAAGGCACGCGCCCCGCCAGCTCGAGCCTTCTCCCCGGGGGAGCGGCTGCAAAGTCGGGGCTGTCCGTCTACAGTCGGGGGCGGCAGAGAGGGGGGGCGATGCCCAGGGGGGGGGGGTGGATGCCATGGCGGGGGCCAGGATATTTCCCAGATTTCATGGCGCCTCTTCTCATTTGGGGGGGGATACCACGGCGGGGGCCAGGATATTTCCCAGATGTCATGGCGCCTCTTCTCATTTCGTTACGTCCCTGGCCCCCCCGCCGGGCCGCGCACATGCCGCTGGTCATGATTTGCACCCCCCCCCTTCTTGGACACACCCCTCTTGGCCGCTCCCGATACAGGAGGAATCTTCAAACATAGTAAAACAATAGTCGGGGGACGATGTGTTGAGTATTTGTTTGGCTATGGTTCTGGGCATTTCTGGACTCTTGTATATATGTTTCGCCCAACATCCGCCTGCAGGGGGACATGCCCGACACAAGACCGGTTTTGCCTCTTGAGTCCTTTCGGTGACGGCCCCGGAGCCGGGCGAGGGCCCCAGAAGGCCGACGAATGGCCAGGAGTTCCTCGTCGTGTTTTTTGTTTTGCGATGCGATCGCGTCTGGGGATCTGTCGCCGGCGCCAGCTCGATGGTTCCCCCCCTGGGCTGGTCCCCCCAGGAAAGTTTCAGGAGGGTCAGAAGAACACAGATGCAAGTCATCGCCGGTTCCCTGGGAAGTATAAAGCATATGGGGAGTGGAGGGGCCGGCGAACATCCAGAAAGCGAGGAACACGTGGGGGGGATCCTGGGACCTGTGTCTATTTATGTGTGTCGATGGGCTGATGCTCCACCACTACGATTGCCAGGACGGGTGAGACGGGAGGATGGGAAGGTCCTCCTCATCCCTTTTCCTCTTCCTCCTCCCTTTTCCTCCTCCTCCTCCTTCTCCTCCTCCTGCTCCTCCTCGTCCTCCTCCTCCCTCTCCTACATATGGTAGCGGTGGTGGAGAATCGGCCCATCATGTGTGTCCCTGTACCCCCTTCAGCGCTGCCCTCCCCAAGGAGCGGCCGGCGGCCTGGACGTTCACCACGGCGGCGGCCGACTCGGCCACTCGCAGGTGGCGGTGAGCCCCTGTCGCCAGAATTCCGGGCGAGGGCGACGACGACGACGACGATGACGACGAGGACGAGGACGACGACGACCACGACCACGACGACCACGACGACGACAACGACGTTCAGGGGTAGCGACACCGCTGCTCTTTCTTGAGGGCATTTGTCGCCACGGCTGAATTCTCCTCAAACGTTGGTCAGAACGCACCTCAGGATAGGTCTGAGGGTTAGTAGCGCAATGCGGGTACCTTTTTGTCCCCCCAATCGTGTTTGCAGGATGGTTAATCCAAGATTCCAGAGCTCCAGGTAAGATCTTTTCAGACGGCGTTTTTTCATCGATGTCGGCCCTTGGGGGCCTGTTCTGGGCTTTGGGACCATGAAGCACGGGATTGGGATGAAGGCCTACCCTCGTGGAAGAGGTCGGGACCTCTGGGGCCGCGCATTGCAAAAGTCAGGTCGGCAGATGTTAGGGAAGGAAGTTGTTGAACGTTCTCCCTCACTCCTGGAAGCTTGCTCGACTCGGGAGGCTCTCCCGTACAGTGCCGTTTTTAATACATGCTCCGCGTGCGGATCATGTATAAAAAAATGCAGGGATTCAGTTTTAAAAGCAACGATGAGTTCATGCATAAATTCATTCATGAATTAGTCATGCATTAGCAATCTTATATTTTGAAAATCCCATGTATTAAAAAACTGTAGTTGCGCCCCGCCGAGAGCGTCCCCGGCGGTGCCGGCCTCGTCCCGAGCGGCCGCCCGGGGTCCGAGGCACGACGTCACCCGCAGCGAAAGCCGGATCTCCGACGATGTGCGCTTTCCCCAATTACACGCGGGTCCTTCGTGGGCCCTGGAAAGGACAGGGCCGTTTTTTTACCGGTTCCGTTTTGCCGTTTTTGTTGCCGGTTCCGACGCCGTTTTTTGACCAGTTCCGTCGCCGTTGTTTGACCGGTTCCGGCTCCGGTTCCAATCCTGGAGCCGTTTTTGTTTTGCCGTTTCTTGTCGCCGTTTTTTTGCCGTTTCCATTTTTAAGGGACGCTTTTTTGGAAACGGTGAAAAAACGGCCCTGCTGTTTCCGGGGTCCACAAAGCGCGGGTCGTTGAAAGTATGCATTTTTCATTCAAAAGTACCTACTTCCAACGACCTTTGGGATCCAGCTTGAAGTAGACTGGGATCTGGGAATCCAAGTTTTTGGATTCGCAGATCCCAATATACTTCAAGCGTCTTCCTGCGTCAAGAATCAGCATGATTTTGCTGTGTTTTGTTGTTATCCGACGATGTGCGTTTTCCCCAATTGCACGCCAGTCGGTTAAAGTAGATATTTTTTAGGAAGCCTTGAGACGGGGGTCAACGCAAACGGGGGTCAGCCAGGGCACCAGATCCTGCAGGATCCTGCGAAGACCCCCTCTGGCTGACCAGGGGTTGGCGAGCCGCTCGTGGCCGCGAGGCGGCCGCGCATATTGGCTGACCCGGGTTTGCGAAGACCTGCGTTGCAGTTTTTTGTTTCTTGCATTGCAGTTTTTGGTTTCCCGCTGACCCGGGTCTGGATTGACCCGGGTCAGAAGACCCCCGATTTTGGGGCTCCCAGATCCCAATCTACTTCAAGCGCCTTCCTACTTCAAGAATCGACATGCTTTTGCTGTGTTTGGTTGTTCTCTGGGAGGGCCTGGACCCAATCCACTTTGTCAGCTTGCCTACTTTATGTCTTTACCTACTTCCTCCGACCCCGCCGATGTTGGTGGCCGGCTGGGTTCCTGGGTTCCCGGGCTCCGGGTTCCCGAGGTCTTGATGATTGGTTCCGGGCCGATTTCGGTAGGTTCTGGGTTCCCGGGTTCCCGGGGTACCGGTCGATCTCTTTGTCGACCTCTTTATCGGCCCCACGATGCATTATCGATCTCATGATCGATCTCATTAGTCATCTCGATCCATCGATCTCACCATCGATCTCATCAAACCATTCACTGATAAAGGATCTTTCTCTGGTGTACTTGTTTTCGTCAAGGCAAGAGGTGCGGTCTCGACCCGCGGATCAAAAAAAGGTTTCGTCCAGGCGTGTCTGTCACCCACGGCCAGCCTCTATGGGGCCCGTCCATCCGGGCCTGGGCGCCAGCCCCGGACGACCTACGCAGAGATCCAATGTACAGGGCAGTTTTTATTACATGGGATTTTTAAGCATATAGGATTTGTAATACATGATTAATTTATGAAGACATCTATGCATGAATTCATCGTTGTTTTTAGTACTAAATCCTTGCATGTGTAATACATGATCCGCACGCGGAGCATGTATAAAAAAACGGCACTGTACTGACAAATATCAAGACGAATGTGTTTAGCAAATTTCGACCCCTATATGGGACCCTCGCCGGGCCTCGGGACCGACAAAAAGCGACTCGGGATGAAACAAACCGGTCCTGGGGCAGGGGTCGAGACTTCCGGGGACCCCGCCTTGAACAAATCACGACATCGGGTCTCTGGGTGTGGGAAGCGATCGGGGCCAACTCGGGGCCGCGCACTGGAACCCTCGCCCTCATTCTTCCAGACCTTCCGTGCTGACCTTCCACACTCTTGCGCTTCGTGAAACGCTGACTTTTCCTGCGTTTCCTGAGGCTTTCAAAAGCTTTAATGCATCACCTTCCGCGCCTTCCGCAGAGGTCGGAAGGTATGGAGAATGGAGGTGCAGGGAAGGAGAACACGTTGACTGCTGGTCGCCCTTTGTTCATCTTCTTTGTTTCGCCGAGCGGTGCGGGCCTTCGGCCACACGTCGAAGCCCAGGATCGAAAACGAAAAAAGACAAGGCAGCAAAAGCGCCTACATGTCTGGGCCTTGGCATCGCTCGGACGTGTGCATTTTTCCTTCGGCGAGGACCATTGAGGAGCATCCTTGATCAATTGGGGAAAAAACCACGCACGAAATCGAAAAATGCACGGGGAATGGACGTCCGAGCGATGGCGAGGGGCGTGGTGTGCAGCTTTCAGGGAGAGTCAGGAGGGAACAGCACACACAGAGACACACATAATTACGCGGCGATCCCCAGGCGAGTCTGGGAAAGGATCTGGGCAGTGGAGGGGAGGACGAGCCTCGAGCAGGTGTGCCAAAGGAGAGCTGGAAGCCCTGGATCCCTGTCTCTCTATCTGTGTTCCTCTGGGCCCCTTCCTAGGAGAGGGATGGGCGGGGCCGAGCCTCGGAGCCCCCGCGGAAGCAGGCGCCCGGCAGAGCCTGCGGAGAGGCCCCGCCGGGCCCGCGCAGGAGCCGGAGCCACTCGCGCGCTCTGCGCCGCCTGCAACCGCGAACGGTCAGGGCTGCGCGGACGGCCCCCCGGGGGGGGGGGGGAGCTTGGCATTGCTCGGGCGTGTGCATTTTTCCTCAGAGGAGGGAGAAATCGACCTACACCGCTAACCTTCCCTCGTTTGCCCCTTTTTGGGGCCTCCTGGGAGGCCCTCGTCGCCACCGCCGGTTTCGCCTCGAAATTCTTAGTCAGAACGCACCCCGGGAGAGGTCTGGGGGGTACCGTTATCGGTGCCTTTTGGTTTCCCCATCTTCTCGGCCGGGACCATCGAGGGGCATGGTCGAGACTAAAAAGGAGCCCTTAACCCGAATGACACAGTGAAGACATGTGGCATGGCCTCGCTGAGGTCCTCGTCATTGCATTAGGGATCATAATTCTGGGCAGTGTGGTCCGATGCATCTGCAGAGAAGACCCCCCCTTATCCCTAATGTTATGGTCCTCCTAACTCAGGTCCCCTCCCAACGGTTTAGGGGTCCTTGCATTGCTGACCGGATCAGCCTGGACCACTCAGCCAAAAAGGCACGCACGAAACCGACAAAGGCCCGGGGCATCGAGGTCGGAACGATGGCAAGGGGGGGGACAGCTGAGCAGGGGGTCGAGGCCTGGGGGAGCGGCACCCTCCGTGGCCGCCACGCTGGCACGGCCTTCCCAGAGAAGCCTCACGCGGGCGGGGTGCACGCCTCCCCTCGCCCCCATTCTTCCGGACCTTCCGTGCTGACCGTCCACACTCCTGCGCTCCGTGAGTTTGCTGGCGTTTCCTGGGGCTTTCAATGGTTTCAAGGCATCACCTCCCGCGCCTTCCGCAGAGGTCGGAAGGTATGGAAGATGGAGGTGGAAGGTCTGCACCCTGCGTGGACCGCGCCCCGCCCCCTACGCTGACGAGCACCCGGCAGGGCCACCCCTCCTGCGCGTAGCCGATCCTCGATCCCCGTGGCCGAGGGGGTCAGCGTGGACGCCCGGATCTTCAGCCCCTCTCGGGCCGGACGAACGGGGGGGCTTGGAAAAGGGGGGGTTATCGGAGGTGGATAGACCTCCTACCCTGACACGTCGATTAAGGAATTGGCCGTTTTCGGTTCGTGGGAGGGCGTCGCGGCCGTCGTCTTTGCGGGTCCAGGTCCGTCGGTTTCGGTCCCAGGCCGTGTTCACTAGGGGGAGGTTTACGAAAGGGGGGTTTGGCCACCGCCGAGGTTACGAAAGCTGCTGCGTGCAGCCGGTTTCGGCCCCACCGAGGGCCCCATTCCTCGATGCATGGCCGCCTCCGGCGCCGGGAGGCGCGGGGAGAATCAGCTACAACGTGAGCTGATTCTCAAACCCCCGCTTTGCTATCCCCCCCCTGTCGCCCGGCCCGAGCCTCGCCGCGCCCGTGGGCCGGGGCCGTCTTCGCCCACGGCGGCTGCTTCGCGCAGGGCGACCGGGACAGCCAGGCGGGCGTGAGCGCCATGCTGGCGGAGATCGGCGCCGTCGTCGTCGTCGTCGTCGTCGTCGTCGTCGTCGTCGTCGTCGTCGTCGTCGTCGTCGTCGTCGTCGTCGTCGTCGTCGTCGTCTCTGTCGTCGTCATCGACGTCATCGACGTCGTCGTCGTCGTCGTCGTCGTCGTCGTCGTCATCGTCGTTGACGCCGAGATCCAACGTCACGAGCAAGCGGCAACATTCCCTGAGGTCCTGGCAACTCATTTTCTTTGAGCTGGGCGTATTGCCGTCCAGTTTCGGGCCCCGGGGCCCTCACGGATCGATCCAGCTCGCAGAGTGGCGCACCCCCGGGGCTGCGGTCGCGATGTCCTGCGATGACTCCTTCTTTTTTTTCCGCGCCGTCGGATCTCGGGGTCGTCGGAGAACTCGACCGGAGCCCTGGACTCCGTCTTTCTGGTGCACTTTTCCAGCCGGATCGATCCGTGAGGGCCCCGTCGGGCGGGGCTATAGGACGAGGAAAGGCCGGTCCGGAGCGTTCCGGAACGCCCTCAGATCGTGCCGGGACGCCTTGAGAAGGCCGCGGCGCACGAGACATCCTCCAGAGCCGCGGGATCGCAGAGGTTCTCGATTCATCCTCTCCCAAATCTATCCTCTCGGACGTGGATAGACCTCCTACCTTGACACGTCGAGTAAGGAGTTGGCCGTTTTCGGTTCGTCGGATGGCGTCGCGGCCGTCGTTTTTGCGGGTCCAGGTCCGTCGGTGTCGGTCCCAGGCCGTTTTCACTAAAGGGTGGTTTACTAAAGGGAGGTTTGTCCACCGCCGATCCTCGTTCTGGCTTCGTCTTGTCGGTCCCTGAGGGCCCTGGGGCCCGAACTGAAGCGAGGCAGAATCGCCCGTCGCACAAGGGTTGCGACGCCGTGACCTCAGGGAAAGAGTCTGATCGGTGCTCGGCCCCGCAGATGTTCCTTCGGGTGGTGCCCGGGGTGCCCGAGTGCTTCTTCGGCGGCGAGCGAGGGAGGGAAAGTGAGAAGTGGCGGGCCTTCCCAGCGGGTCCGAGAGTCCCCATGCCTCCTCAGAAGTTTTCCGAAGCCTTCCCCGAAGACAGGAAGCCTCTCAGACGGCCTTCTTCAGGAGGGAAAAAACACACAGACACAATGAATCGTCGATTCCCCAGAAAATATTGGAAAATATGGGAAGTGGGGGGAAGACAATAATCCAGACAATATGGGGAAATATGGGGAATCCTGTTTTTTTTGTGTGTGTGTGTGTGTGTAGTTATTTGTGTGCCCCAGGGCCCCTTGACTTCTCCTTCTCGTTGCCCCCCCCCCCACGCTCGCCGCCGACGCACGCAGCACGAGTCGGGAGATCACGCCGCTCAGGGAACGAGCTGCTGCAGCACTGCTGCATTACATTTCGGGAGGGCAAGAAGCCCAAACAGACACCATGAAGCGTGTCGATTTCCCCCCGAAAATAGGGGAAACTGCGGGAAGTGGGGGGGAAGACAAAGACCCAGACAATATGGGAAAATATAGGGAATCCTCTTATCTGTGTGTATTTATTTGTGTGTGTCTGTGTGTGTGTGTGTGTGTGTGTGTGTGTGTGTGTGTGTGTGTGTGTGTTTGTGTGTTTTTGTGTGTGTGTGTGTGTGTGTGTGTGTGTGTGTGTGTGTGTGTGTGTGTGTGTGTGTGTGTGTGTGTGTGTGTGTGTGTGTCCCAGGGCCCCTTCATGCACGTTCGGGTCGGGCGCATGCCCCGAAGGAGGACACACAGTACTGGTATGTTCTCGTGCGCCCGATGGCCTCATCCCCGCGGCCTTGGCGCCGCAGTGTCTTCGCGACGTGCGATTGCCGCCTCGCGTCGGGCCCCGGGGCCCCACGCGGACCGACGCGGGCCGAAGAGTGTAGCACTAAGATTGGGTCTAGGGTTCCTCCCCCTCCTCCTCCTCCTCCTCCTTCGCCCTCCTCCTCCTTCCCTCCTCCTGCCTCCTCCTCTCCCCTCCTGTCCTCCTCCCCTCCTCTCCTCCTCCTCTCCCCCTCCCCGCGTGACCTCTCCTCTTCGTCCTTTTTCTTCGTGACTTTGTCTCTTTTCCTCTCTTCTTTCTCTTTCTTTTTCGTCTTTTTTTTCTTCCCCCCCTCCGCCCCCCTCTCTCGTTCACTCCTCCTCCTCCTCCTTTTCCTCCTCGTCCTCCTTCTGGTGGAGTGGTGGTTTCTACGATGCTGCTGTTCTGTTCGTGACGTCGGATCAGAATCCAGGGAACCACACTAGCCACGACCAAGATTTCGCAGGGCCTTCTCGACGCCAATCTTGATCATGAGTCACGGTCCGTTCTGGCCGTCGCCGCATCGCGAGGACGATCCATGAATCGAGGATGGCCATGATGGCCACGATGAACGATGGCCGAGACCGACGGCAGCGTTTCCGCGTGCTGTCTCGGCCGTGGTCATCGCGCCTCCCCCCCCGTGACCAGACTCTGACCAGACTCCTCGTGGCCCTGGTGCGGCAGCTCCACGGCTCGTTGGTCGCGCCGCTGTTAGGGCGGCCCCATGGTCCTGGCATCGCTCGGACGCGTGCGTTTTTTTTTTTTTCTCGGCGAGGGCCATCGAGGAGCATCCTGAATCATCTGGCGAACAAACCACGCACGACATCGAAAAATACACAGGGAATGGACGTCCGAGCGATGGCCAGTGGTGGCATCCGACATATGGCTGCCTCCCGGACGTCCCGCAGCGCACGTCGCTGTTTTGTTTTGTCCCACGGCACGCGGCCCCGGAGGCACCGACCTGCCTCCCAGGGGGGCAGGCTTCCGCTCCCCACCCGTTTCTGAGGGCCCCCCTCCTCCTCCTTTTCCTCCTCCTCCTCCTCCTCCTCCTCCTCCTCCTCCTCCTCCTCCCTCCTCCTCCTCCTCCTCCTTCACATCCCTTCTCCTCCGCTTCCTCCTCCTCCGCCTCCTCCTCCTCCTCCTCCTCCTCCTCCTCCGTATCCCTTTTCCTCCGCTTCCTCCTCCTCCGCCTCCTCCTCCTGCTCACAAGCCGGCGAGATCTCCCCCAAGGGGCCGACAGACGAATTCGCCTGGAACCCCATCGCCGACCGCGGTTGCCGAGATCGGGGAGCAGCGCCCTGATTGGAACACCACGTCGTGGGGAGCCTGGGAAGTCGGGCCATGCTTCGGGCCTCGGGCGGCCGTCCTGGACGCCCGCGGTGCCTTCGGAACGCTCTCGGCGAGGCGCGGCCGCCGGGAAGGAGCCCGAGGCGAGAACGCCCCGAGGAGCCAAAGGAGAGTGTTCGAAAACTTCCATCCCTGACATCCGCCGAGCTAACTTACCTGTCTCAATCCGTGGCCCCACGGGTCTTGACTGCTTCCCTGGGGGTCATTCTGTCGTCCTGGATTCATGTTTGATGGTCCCGGGGCCCAGGAAGGACCCCCGAAAGCGATGAAAACCCGCAGGGCTCACAAGCCAACGCGCCAACCAATCATTTTGAGACAATTTCTGAAAGTTCCCAGGCTCCCAGGCCAACGAGCCAACGAGCCCGGGTTCCCAAGCCAACGAGTCGGAGCTCTGGGTGTCTGTAAGTCGGGCCTGTCCTTCTACAGGAGGAACATTCAAGAAGAGTCCAAACAAATAGTCTGGGGCCGACCTTTTTGGAGCATTTTTCTGAGACGTCCGGAGCATGTTTTGCGTATGTTTTATTTTTCGTCCAAAATCCGCCTGTAGGGGGACATGTCCGACCTAACGATAGCGATGAAAACCCGGGTTCCCAAGCCCACGAGCCAACGAAATTTTCAGATACTTAATGTCTGACAGTTTCGGAGCGCCCAAGCCAGCGAGCCAAGAAGCCCGGGGTCCCTCGGGAGCCCCCAAACGGGGTGGTGACCACACCGTGTGGTGAGTCGATGGGGATGCAGGCTCACCGCACGGTTTTGGGGCTCCCTCTCCGAGGATGTCTTCCAACGAGCCAACGAGCCAAGGAGCCCGGGCTCTGGGTGTCTCCCTGCGCCCCCAGGAGATGGGCGTGGCCGTGGTCTCCACCTCGTACCGGCAGGGCGCCGGGCACCCGCACCCCACGGCCACCGAGGACTCGAGGACGAACAAAACGACCCCCTCCCCCTCCTTGTCCTCTTCCTCCTCCTCCTCCTCCTCCTCCTCCTCCTCCTCCTCCTACACCTCCTTCCTCCTCCTCCTCCTCCTCCTCCTCCTCCGTCCTCTTCCTCCTCTCCGCTCCTCCTCCTCCTCCTCCTCATCCTACTCCTCCTCCTGGCCCCCCCAGGACGCCCACTTCTACTCTCCCCTCCTCCTCCTCCTCTCCTCATCCCTCCTCCCTATTTCGCTTCATCCTCCTCCTCCTCCTTCTCCTCCTCCTCCTCCTCCTCCTCCCTCCCCCCTGCCCTCTCAAGGTACAAGGTCGCGGTCATTTCGGGCAGGGTAACTACCCTAGTCTAGGCCTTCCAGATGGGGTCCGAGTAGATGGAGTCGGAGGATCGCTCCGCATCGCCGATTCATTGGCGATGCGGCTCGATGAGGAGCCTCTGTTCCTCCACATGGCGTCGCTGATGCATCGCTGAGGTCGCCGATGCGGCTCGGCGTGAAGCCTGGCCTTCTCCACGTTGATGCATGGCGATGCATCGGCGATGCGATGCGATCTTCTGACACCATCTACTCGGACCCCTTTTCAAGAAGCCTCATTGTGCATAATGTGTTGGAGCTTCGCGGGGACTTCTTGGACCTGCGTTGGGCCCCCCTGGCGCCGCCTCTGGCACGCTCCACACGACAGGGAGGGGCACTGAGATTCGAAGTCGCGAAACAAAGTCCAATATCGTATGTAAAACACGCAGTCGGAGCCATCGACCCCATGTTTCTTTGGGTGTCCAGCAATGCGGGTGCCCAGCAATGCTTCGTTTTGTGTCCAGCAATGTCTCTTTGGGTGTCCAGCAAGGAAGGGGGGTTGAAGGAGGGTGCATCTTGTGTCTTGTGTGGCCTCAAGGGGGCCTCAAGGGCCCTCTTTGGGCCCACAATGGGCACGACAGGTGCACGTTTGTTATTTTGTTCCCAACCATTATGTGGTGTTGGGTCCTCGTTTTGAAGATACGTTGCCCCGCGTTCCTCCTCCTCCTTCCTCCTCCTCCCCTTCCTCCCCCCTCCTCCCCCTCCCACACCCATTCTGGCACACCCCTCACACGTTTCGTGGCCCCATAGGGAGCTCCACCGAAGGCCCCAGTGGCTGCGCCCGCATGCGGTTCCACCCCCATTCTGGCACACCACTCACACGTTTCGTGGCCCCATAGGGAGCTCCACCGAAGGCCCCAGTGGCTGCGCCCGCATGCGGTTCCACCCCCCATTCTGGCACACCCCTCACACGTTTCGTGGCCCCATAGGGAGCTCCACCGAAGGCCCCAGTGGCTGCGCCCGCATGCGGTTCCACCCCCAATTCTGGCACACCCCTCACACGTTTCGTGGCCCCATAGGGAGCTCCACCGAAGGCCCCAGTGGCTGCGACCGCATGCGGTTCCACCCCCCATTCTGGCACACCCCTCACACGTTTCGTGGCCCCATAGGGAGCTCCACCGAAGGCCCCAGTGGCTGCGCCCGCATGCGGTTCCACCCCCCATTTTGGCACACCCCTCACACGATTCGTGGGTGGCTCCATGGGGAGCTCCACCGAACGCCCCAGTGGCTGCGCTCGCATGTGGTTCCCCCCCCCATTTCGGCACACCCCTCACACGGTTCGTGGCCCCATGGAGAGCTCCACCGAAGGCCCCAGTGGCTGCGCTCGCATGCGGGTCCACACCCTTTTTCGGCACGCCCTTCACACGTCTCGTGGCCCCATAAAAAGCTCCACCGAACGCCGCAGTGGCTGCGCTCGCATGCGGTTCCACCCCCATTTCGGCACACCCCTCACACGCTTCGTGGCCCCATAGGGAGCTCCACCGAAGGCCCCAGTGGCTGCGCCCGCATGCGGTTCCACCCCCCATTCTGGCACACCCCTCACACGTTTCGTGGCCCCATAGGGAGCTCCACCGAAGGCCCCAGTGGCTGCGCCCGCATGCGGTTCCACCCCCCCATTCTGGCACACCCCTCACACGTTTCGTGGCCCCATAGGGAGCTCCACCGAAGGCCCCAGTGGCTGCGCCCGCATGCGGTTCCACCCCCCCATTTCGGCACACCCCTCACACGCTTCGTGGGTGGCTCCATGGGGAGCTCCACCGAACGCCACAGTGGCTGCGCTCGCATATGGTCCCCCCTATTTCGGCACACCCCTCACACGGTTCGTGGCCCCATAGAGAGCTCCACCGAAGGCCCCAGTGGCTGCGCTCGCATGCGGTTCCACCCCCTTTTTCGGCACGCCCTTCACACGTCTCGTGGCCCCATAAGGAGCTCCACCGAACGCCGCAATGGCTGCGCTCGCATGCCGTTCCACCCCCCATTTCGGCACACCCCTCACACGTTTCGTAGCTCCATAGGGAGCTCCACCGAAGGCCCCAGTGGCTGCGCTGGCATGCGGTTCCACACCCCATTCTGGCACACCCCTCGCACGTTTCGTGGCCCCATAGGGGGCTCCACCAAAGGTCCCAGTGGCACTGCCCGCTTGCGTCCGCCACCACCCAGCACAGCCTTGTTCCCTGCGCTTCACCCACCCAGAACAGCGCTTCGTAGCCCTATAGGGAGCTCCACCAAAGGTCCCAGCGGCACCGCCCGCATGCGTCCGCCACCACCCTGCGCAGCCCTTGCTCCCTGCCTGCGTTTCACCCACCCAGTACAGCGTTTCGTTGCCCCATAGGGAGCTCCACCGAAGGTCCCAGTGGCACCGCTCGCATGCGTCCGCCACCACGCAGCACAGCCCTTACTGACCGCGTCTCACCCACCCAGTACAGCGTTTCGTGGCCCCATAGGGAGCTCCACCGAAGGTCCCAGTGGCACCGCCCGCATGCGTCCGCCACCACCCAGCACAATTGCGGCATTCACAACTGCATATGGTTGGGTCCTTCGCCAGGCTAATTTTCTTTCTCGCTCTCTCTCTCTCTCTGTCTCTCTCTCTCTCTCTCTCACGCGCACACACCCAGTGATCGCCCCCCACTACCTAGCCCCAGATGTTCTGGGCAATTGTTGGATCTGGATCGATCCGTGAGGGCTTCGGGGCCCGAGGCAAGGCAAAGCCGCCGGTTGCGAAAGCATTGCGTCGCTGGGATCTCGAATGCGAGAAACCCGCGAGGAGCTCCAAAAGGTGTTGGTCGTGCCATTGTTTTGGCGGCGGCATTGACGACAGCAATGGAGAGTAAGAAGAGGAGGAGGAGGAGGAGGAGCGAAACCAGGGGAATCCCAGGGTTAATCTTCGATGCTGACGTACACTTGGCGGCGAGGCGGGGGGGGAGCGAGAAGAGGCGGGCCTTCTATATTGGGGTCCTCCGATCGCCGAGAACGCGACGCGATCATAAAGTCTTGCGCGCTTGAGGACCCGCCGAGAGCCGCACACCAAAGGTCACTCACGCCTGGGGCCACTCTTGCGGCGTAGCCGACCGTCGCTCGCCGCCGGTACCGGACGACGAACTCTCCATACACATCCACTGCTCCCTGGCCGGGCCCATCCCGAGCCCAGGAGCTGTGCACTTACGCCCTCCTGGCCAGGCCAGAGGAGGGCGTGGCGTATGCACTGCTGCTAGGCTGGGGCTGGGCCCGGCCAGGAGCCGTTTCTGTATTGCTTGGGGCATGACGGGCGTCATGGCCCCCGTTTCCCCCCCACCCACCCACCCCGCCTATGACGTGACGCTCCCCCCCCCCGTGCGCTTCAGGCACTGCCGCCGTGCGCAAATGGTTCCGCGTAGGTGTCCGCGTAGGAATCCGCATGGGAGTCTGGTCCGCAGTCGTCGTCGTCGTCGTCGTCGTCGCTCATGGCTTGTCGCTCGTCGCTCATAGTCGTCGTGCGCGCGGAAGCGGCTGAACCGTGTTTTTCTTTGTTCCGGGCCGATGACGGCAATCAGTTAGGGGGGGTGGAGGGGGTCGATGATGTCACGTTTCGCGCCGGCGGCGTCTGGGAATGGTTTGCGATTTGCGATTTGCACCACAACGCCTGTGTACACCACAGTGTTTGCGTGCACCACAGCGCGTGTGTACACCACACCGCCTATGTAAACCACAGCAGCCGTGTGCAACACAGCGTCAGTTTGTGCCGCCGTGCTTGCGGGCACAACAGCTCTACTGCACACCACAGCGCGTGCGTACACCACATCAGCCGTGTGCAACACAGCACCAGTGTGCACCACAATGCCTGCGTGCATTGTAGTGCCTGTGTACACCACGGCGCTTGTGTGCACCACTGCAACCGTGTGCAACACAGCACCATTGTTGTATATAGAATGTTCGAACGAATCCTTATGAGAAAATGGAGCGGAATCCACGAGTTTTTAGGAACGCCGCTGGAATCTACGAATCCTTCCGAGTCCGCCCGCTTCACCCTAACTTCTCCCATCTGCGTCCAGGGGGCTCCAGCTAATTTGGCCGTCCGAGAACCAAGTGGACCGATTCAATATTTCATTCTGCGGTGCGCGCTGAAATTCGCACGTGCTATGTAGCGCCATTCCGCACGACAGGGGGTAAGGAGGAGGAGGAGGAGGAAAAGGAGGAAGAGGAGGAGGCGGTGGAGGTGGAGGAGGAGGGAGGAAGTAAGAACGTCGCATTCGTGTATCAGCACTGTCCTGGCGTGGCGTCTAGTTGTCCGCAGCAGATCCTCACGTACATGCTCCTTCTACCTGTCTTATGCACGCAGGCATTCTGGTGTACATCAGCGCTGCGTTGCACGCTGATGCTGTGATGTAGACGCGCGCTGTGGCGTGCAAAGGCGCTGCGGTGCACGCAAGCATTGTGGTGTACACAGGCGGTGCGTTGCACATGGTAGCTGCGGTGTACACATGTACACCGGCGCTGTAGTGTACGCAAGCATTCTGATGTACACAGGCGCTGCGTTGCACACGGTTGTTGCGGTGTACGCAGGCGCTGTGGTATACACGCGCGCTGTGGTGCACGCGGGCGTTGTGATGTACACAGGCGCAGTGGGGCATATCGCCACCTACATGCTGTTCGCGTTGT